ATTATAGGCCTATATATATATATATATACATATACATACACATATACACATAGGGCCGAGCACATAAACGGAATTGGTAACTGCCCAAAAAGGACCAGTTAAAAAATATTTGGAATACGATGCCAAACATGATTTGAAAACGAGCATATCACAGAACTGGTGACTGCCCAAAAAGAGCCCCAGTTTCAGATAGACGGGTCCCTAGCCACATTGTTACGCCACTGTGGATCACTTGCGTTGAATCGATAATACCTCCACCAAATCGGTATTGTCTTCTCAGGGAAAGTACCGTAGGCCTATATTGGAAAGCAATCCTTAGCTATAATCTTGAGTTGTTTGTTTTTTTTGTTTTTGTGTTTTTTTTTTACTCTTGTTTTAGTCTTTTAATCAAAGTCAATTTCGTTGACGATGTCGTTGACGAGTTTGCGGCAATTGCCAGTTAACACCTCATTTTATCGATTTACATCGACTTTACATATGGGATTTCATTGGAGTGGGAATGGAAGTCACGATCTGCGAATGGAACCAGAAGTGATGTGACGTGTTGACAAACTGTAGTTCTTAAAGCCGAATTGTCAGAACGATTGAGTTACATACTAAGACGGTTAAGGCCTAATACCTAACAAGTGCTTTTGAAAATTTCAAAAGTACTCCCTAAAATTACAGCAGAGTTGGATCAAAACGATGCGCATGATATAAAAATTCAAAGACAATTAAAACACTAGAAAACACAATATTTTGGAAACAATGATTGGATCTCTGTAAATCTTCGATGGTAATCTATTCCATATGTGTCTGCATGATTCTAACACCGGAGAAACATATGCATAGGTGTGTGTATTTTACTTTATTCAAAAACTGAAGATTTTATCCTTTTTTATTATTTATTCAACAGGTTCAAGCAGCCTCGAAGCAAATCTCCGCCGACAAAGAGTATAAAGGCATCATAGACTGTTTTACTCGAGTAACAAAAGAACAAGGGTTCTTCTCGCTATGGAGAGGTAACTTTACAAATGTCATTCGTTACTTTCCAACGCAGGCACTTAACTTCGCCTTCAAAGATAAATACAAACAGATCTTCCTCGGTGGCGTAGACAAGAACAAACAATTCTTAAAATTTTTCTTGGGTAACTTGGCTTCTGGTGGTGCTGCTGGTGCAACGTCATCTATATTCGTGTATCCTTTGGACTTCGCGCGTACGCGGTTGTCAGCTGATGTTGGTAAAGGCTCTGCACGTGAGTTCACAGGTCTTGGTAACTGCCTTGTATCAATATACAGATCGGATGGGTACCTCGGACTGTACAGAGGTTTCTTTACCTCATTACAAGGTATCATCATCTACCGTGCTGCATTCTTCGGCTTGTACGACACAGCAAAAGGTGCAATTCCTTACAAGCTTAACATCTTCTTCTCATGGATGATTGCCCAATGCGTGACAACAGCTTCAGGTATCATCTCCTATCCATTCGACACTGTTCGACGTCGTATGATGATGCAGTCTGGTCGCAAGGATGTCATGTACAAGAACACAATTGATTGCTGGAGGAAAATTGCTCAGCAGGAAGGCTCTAGGGCTTTCTTCAAGGGTGCGCTGTCCAATATATTCCGTGGTACAGGAGGAGCTCTTGTGTTAGTTCTGTATGATGAAATTAAGGCACTTATTGTTTAGTCCTAGTTTTGAAAATGGACCGCAGCTCACATTTCATCCAACAGCAATATTAAAAGGACCTTGGATATTGTTATTAGATAGCACAATGTATGTAGGCCTAATGTAGATGTACGTAAACATTGTACGTTTGTGGAACAACATGTTCGTTAGTGGGACAACACGCGTGTTTGTGGGGAAAGCGTGTTTTTAGCCACCTTGTTCTGATTAGTCAGCTGTAAAATTTGATTGACACCCCGACAAGGTCCATTGTTCTACATTCTAAATTAAATCCTAACAACATGCAGTTCCGTTTGCGCTTAATATGGTGCATGCGCACCGACTCAGGCCAGCGTTCAAAATCTTTCCAAAGTGTTGTTTATTAAATATTGTAAACAGTTTTAGCCTAGGCCCTTGGTAGATACTATTATATAGTGCAAACCTTGGTCTAGTATTTATTAGTATGGAGTGTATCATTCCAGTCATGTTATCAGGTTGATTTTATATGAATAGGCCTACTCAATTTTTAAATATAAAACTAAGTAATTCTGACGTGCAATAGTTCATTGTTGCTCGAATCAAATCAATATTTGTTTCTTTAAAAAAAATTGATTAAGAATGCTTAGAATGCTAAAGGACAAAAATTGAGAGAACTCCTAATAAAGAACCTCAGTGAAAAACATTAGTGGCAATAATAAAATATAACATAAAAATATGGTTGAAATATTTATAAGTGGCATTTTAAACAGGCTATAATTTCGTCTCTACTGAAACCTTTCGTGATTATTAGTTATGTCTGTCATTTTTTTCCCCTCAAATTTACTTTCTAGGATAACCCCAGACTTCTATTAATATTCTAAAACCAGGGAACAGTGAAATTACACTGTTCCCTGTTAAAACCCACTACTGATTAACTTTGTCAGTTAACTACGATCGCTTTCTTGTTTTATTTATTTTATTTATTTATTTTTCTTTTTTGTGGGTGGGGTTCGAGGGGATGGGGAAGCAAATGCTGTGGATGACAGTGGTTTATCCCACCCTGCTTCGTCCAATCCTCATTTTGATGTGGTTAATTTCATAATTTTTGTGGGATTATTTTGGTGGTCTTTGCGAAAATGAATGAAATACAGATTTCATAAAAATACAGGAAATAAAAAATAATAATCATATTTACAAATTTGAGTTTCTAATAAAGTTGTCTGCAAGAATTTGAAAGACTCTTAGAGAAGGACGCCGCCACCCGCCACACTCATATTTACTAAACATAAGGATACTAACGTAAGTACAGTTCGATAGTATGGAGTATTATTTATTACAATGTTATATTATGCCAGTTGATTGATAGATTCATTCATTCACACTCAGACATGTAAGGTTAGAAATTAAACTTCGGATCAGCGGCAAAAGTGCATCAGATGTCCATTAAATGTATCAAATACCCGATTGGAATTAGAGTTATGTGTGTGGTACTCGTACGTCACAGTAGTAGAAGTAGGCCTACGAGCGAACTCGGGGTTGACTCCGGTTTGTTGTCTGTGTGTTCTGCACGTAGGCCTAATGTTTCGCATTCATATTATTTGTGGAATTGATGATGCTAATATAGATGCTTATATTAATAAATTTAGTTTGGAAATACAGTACAATACAGAATTTAAATCGAACTTAAATATCACAGAGGTAGTGGCAAGCAAAAAGGTAATAAAAAACCCTGGTAAAAAAACTTGTGGTGCGCGTGAATGGTGGAAATTCCTTCGCGATTTATTATTAGGGGCCTATTCCAAGTTGTTCTTAGTTACTTTTGTTTTGCGTCTGAAGTTTAGGTTAATTCTCAAAATTGCTATAATAGTCTCTATCATTACTTTCAAGTTTCAATTACACCTACTTTTACCATAGAGATATTATAGTACCTTTTTAGTATTGCGCTAATTTTTGTGTTACAGAGTGGTTTAGACGGTAAGTTCAGTTGAAGAGCGCCATCTATAGTTTGATAAAGTTTGTACAATTAATTTTTCAGAACTACATTGACACACAGTATGTGATTTATACTTTGTTTATACTGCCCTCGGAAGTTTTTCCAAAATTTTAGCTTTTGGCATTTTCCAGATTTTTTTCACTACTCTACCATATTTTTTATGATATTTCTGTAAAAATGATTCCTACAGCACATAATATCATTAAACATGAAGAGGGCATCCTGTATTGTTTTAGACATAAATTTATATTTTTTTGTTTAACCTCGGACTGTCAAAAATGAATGATGAATTAAGTTTAATTCTGAAATCTCATCTATGGGCCTAACAGCACCTTACTTAAAGCCCCATTCAAATTCAATCGAATTTTTGTATAATGTTATAAGATTTATAAATATAATACGGAATTGCTAGTTTAACTGAATTTAGACATTCCTAATAATGAAAAAAATGTAAAAAAAGACTGAAATTTTATTTTTTTTGTGTTCCACACAAAAAATAAATGCGGATGAATTTTTCATGTTTGATTTTGCGATAGGTCGTGAGAAGAAATATCGTAGGCGCCGAAAACATTAGCCTATCCAACACTGCTAGGCTAGGTGTAGCCTTACCTCGATTTAGTTCTGTTATCACACATAAAAACGGCTGACATGATATTTTCCGTTGCTAGTAATGACACTTGTGTAATATAATATTTCATAGGAATTATTTCAAATTTGTTAAAAAACTGATTCTGACTGAGATTTTGACACTTAAACAAACATATCTTAGCCTAATCGAACGACCGCATTGTGCGGGATGCGAAGTAAAAAAACTAATCTCACTAGAGAGGGTGCACATTATTGACTGTATAAAGTATACATAAAAGCGAGAGTACTCCAGTGGGTGCGATCTACAACCTCTGAATTTGCCTAGTAACGATGAATTCGTCGAGAAAATGGTAATATTTTATGAGAAATAGTCTGTATTTCTCATTTTTTTTATTCTTTTGCGTAAAACTAAAATTCATGCCAATATTTTTCCATGATTTATAATAATTGGAGTAATGCAAATGCATATTTTCTAAAAAAAGGTCAGTTTTTAGTGAAATTTTGCCGGGAATGGGGCTTTAAGTATTTCAAATATTGAATAGCCAAACAAACACAAAATGTTATAGCATTTGTGAACACCGAGAATATTGTTATTATGTCAGTAATTGCCACAACATTTAGAGAGAAATTATGTTATAATTACACCCATACAGTATGGGGATATGATGATGTCATTTTGTCATGATGATCATTGGTGGATCTGGAGGGGAGTCAGGGGGTCCTGACCCCCTTCTAAATTTGAACCCAGATCTGCCCCTGATGATAATGTATCTGTCCACAAAAGAAGAAAAACATACTAAGAAGTTAGGTTTTGTTTAATTTAAAGTGTGCCAGTGGCCAGGTTTCACCACTGCCGTCTTTCAAATTTAAAGTTTGCCAGTGGCAACTGAACTTACCATCTAAATTTAAAGTTTGCCAGTGGCCAGGTTTCACCATTGCCGTCTTTCAAATTTCAACAGAAAAAGATACAAAGTGGCATAAAATTACTAAATGTTACAACAATATTTTGTAACAGCCACTGAATACGAATTATATCATTATTTATTGGATACATATTTATCTGTATGAATATATATCTG